ATGGCCACAATGTGTGATAAGTGTTTAGTTAAGATGGAAAAGGCATTAAATTTGTGGGTGGAAGACATGAACAGAAATGTGTTCTGACTGACAGCAATTGGGTTCAGAACTACCTGTAGTTTCAAGTATCCACTGAGGGTCTTGGAACATATCCACCTTGGATAAGGGAGGACTACTGTATGAGGTAACTAGACTGGTCAAATTCATACAAACAGAAAGCAGAATGGTGGTTGCCAGGGGCTGGAAGCAGGGGGAAATGGAGAGTTGTTTAATGGGTACAGAATTTCAGTTTTGCAAGATGAAAAGAGTTCTGGAGATTAGTTAACAACATGAATGTACTTAACACTACTGAATTATACACTTAAAAATTGTTAAGATGGTAAGTTTTTTTTTTTTTAATTTTTATTTCTTTAGAGACAGGGTCCTGCTCTGTCACCCAGGCTAGAGTGCAGTGCCATGATCTTAGCACACTACAGCCTCGAATTCCTGGGCTCAAGTAATCCTCCCACCTCAGCCTTCAGAGTCACTGGGATTACAGGCTTGAGCCACCGTGCTCAGTGAGATGCTAAATTTCTATTAGAGCTTAATGAAAATAAAGATGTATTTTTCCCCCTTCCAAGTTCATAGACTCCCTGAATTCTATGATCTGCAGGCCCAGGTTTAGAACCTCTGCTTTGTGACAGTGTGTAAGCCATTTAGCTTCTCTAAGCCTCAGTTTTCTCATCAGTCCTTAGCGTTTGACACATTCCTAACTTATTCACTCTCTCACACGTTTAGGCAATTATTTCACACCATTTTCACACCTTTACTCCCATCACTCCTTCCTCATACTCTCTCTCAGTTGCTTTAGAAGCAATTAGAAAAGAATTTCCACAGACTCCCACTACATCTACTTACCTCTGCACCTGCATAAACTTTCTCTGCCTGTGACCTGTTACAATAGATGAACTGCCCACGCTCCTATCTAAAGATAATCCTGAATGGATCCCATCCTCTCTAACCTACTCGAGGACACCACTCCAGTTATCCTCCCCTCTCTCCTACATCATCAAAGTTTTGGGGATGTTCTCAAAACTATTTCCATCGACATACAAACACACTATTTCTCCCATCTTAAAACCTTTTCTTGATCCTATTTCCCCCACCAATTAACTTTTATTTATTTGCCCCCATATTTGGCAAAACTCAGGTTTCTTATATTCTTGATGTATTCCTTTTTATCATTCTCTTTACACTGATTCCAATCAGGCTTTGATCCCCACCATTTCACCAAAATTGCTCTTGTTAAGGTCATCAATGAACCCCCATTACTAAATCCAGTGGTCAATTCTCTTTTTTTTTTAAACAATAGCTTTATTGAGCTATAATTCACATACCATACAATTCACCCATTTGAAATGTAGGTACGGTTTCATGATTTTTAGTATATTCACAGATAGGTACAAGTATCACTACTGTCAATTTTAGAACAGTTTCATCACAATGGGCAATTCTTAATCTTCCTATTACTTGACCTATAGGTAGCATTTGACACAGCTGATGACATTATTCTCCTTGAAACATTTTGTTTACTTGGCTTTCAGGGCATCCCACTCTCTTGGTTTTCCTCCTTCCTCACTGGTCATCTCCTCTCAATTGGCTATGCTTTTCTTCCACCTTGACCTCTTTCTGGAGATTGGAGTGCCCCCTGCAGGAGTGGGGAAACTGTGGCCTTCTGATTGCAAGATTGTTCTTTTTTTCAGCACCAAAGGAGGCAAGAAAAGCTTCATCTTTCTCTGCTGAACCACTTTTAAGGACGCAAGAAAAGCTTCATCTTTCTCTGCTGAACCACTTTTAATATCTTTTTCTTTTTTTTTTTTTGAGACAGAGTCTCACTCTCTTGCCCGGGGCGAGTGCCGTGGCGTCAGCCTAGCTCACAGCAACCTCAAACTCCTGGGCTCAAGCGATCCTCCTGCCTCAGCCTCCCGAGTAGCTGGGACTACAGGCACGCACCACCATGCCCGGCTAATTTTTTTCTATTTTTTAGTTGTTTGGCCAATTTCTTTCTATTTTTAGTAGAGATGGGGTCTCGCTCTTGCTCAGGCTGGTCTCGAATTCCTGAGCTCAGAACAATCCGCCCGCCTTGGCCTCCCAGAGTGCTAGGATTACAGGAGTGAGCCACCGTGCCCGGCCTGAACCACTTTTTTTTTTTTAATTTCAGCGTATTATGGGGGTACAGATGTTTAGGTTATGTATGTTGCCCTTCCTCCCCTCCCCCAACCACTTTTAATAAAAGGATTTGTTCTGTAAAATTTGGATTCAGTCAAAAGGCTGCACTTAAGGACCTAGAAGGCCACATGCGGCCTTAAAACTGCAGGTTCCCCACCCCTGCTGGGGCCCTTCTTTCCTTCCTTGGTGATTTCATCCAGTCTCATAGCTTTTAATACCATCCCTATGTTTAATACTACCAAGTTTACATCTCTAGCCCAGACGGCTTTCACCAACTCCAAACTTGTATTTACAACTGCCTACTCCACATCCCCATGAGGATTCTAATGGACAACCCAACATGTTCGGAATTAACCCTGCTCTACTCCAAGCCTTCCTTACCTCAGTTGATGATAATTATATTTCTCTAATTGTCATGGCCCAAAATCTTGGAGTCATCCTTGATGTCATCTCTCTCTCACACATCACATTCAATCCATTAGGAAATCCTGTTAGCTCTACCAATATATATCCAGAACCCTCTACACCTCTCCCACCCGATCCAAGAGGCTACCATCTTCAGCTTGGGTTGTCGAACTAGCCTCTTAACATGTCCTACTGCTTTTATCTTGTCCCGCTATAGTCTATTCTCAACATAGCAACCAGAGTGACTCTTTTAAAATAGAAATGACTTCATGTTACTCCTACTCCTCTGCTCAAAACCCTTCAGTGACTTCCCATTTCAGTCAAAGTAAAAGCCAAGGTCCTTACAATGACATAATGCCCTCCATGATCTGGTCTGCCCCTCCCCTTTCTGTTCCTGCCTTTATCTCTCACTCTTCTCCCCTTCACTCACTTTCTCCAGTTACACCGGCCTCATCTTTTCTCCAAACACTCCAGGCACACTCTGGCTGTTCTCTCTGCCTGGAAAGCATTTCCTCCAACAATACAGCTTAGTCAATCCCCTCACCTCCTTTAGGGAATTGCTCAAACTTCATCTTCTCCAGATGGCTTTCTCTGACCACCTTATTTAATATACAGTCAACCTTTTCTTCCCCTACTCCCAAACCCTCTTACCTTGCTCATTTTTTCTTTTTATCTTTAGCACTTATCACCTTCTAATATATACTATGATATTTCTTATGTTTATTTCTCCTGTTCGTTTATAGTGTCTCCTTCCTTTCTAGAATGTAAGGTTTCCCAAAGCAAGAATCTGCTCACTGATGTATTCCAAGTGTCTAGTACAGTACCTAGTTTAGAGTAAGTGCTCAACAAATATTTGTTTAATGAATGAATGAGAAATGTGAATAATCATACCCACTCTAAAAAGCTATTGTAGGGATTACATAACAGGCAAAGGTCCTGACACACAATGCATACCCAACAAGTTAGATCTGCAGCTCCCTCTTCCCTTTTCCAAATATCTTCACCAGTTGCCTGCTCTTACAGTATTTTTCCCTCCCTCCTCTCCTGAAATTTTCACCATTCTAGTCTCTCCTTTGAGTTTAAATCTAGGAAAATCCTACAAAAGGCCACAAATGTCATCTTATTAATAAAAGAAAAGGAAGCCTGGGAGACCAGCTTTACCCATTACCACAACTGTTCATCAAATTAGCAAATTGTCATCCAGAGAAACAAAAAGCCCTGATGGACAGGTAAATGTTTTTGTTGTTGGAGTTGGAGTTTATTCCACTGATTTTTAAAATCAACTTTGTTGAAGTATAGTTTACATACAATACACATTTTATGTGCACTGTTTGATGAGTTTTGACAAATGTATAGGTAATTTTATTGGCATTAAGGTCACTTGGGATTATGCAGGTCCAGGGATTAACAGAGGGATCCTGGTTAGGAAAGAGGGCATCTGGGCTCTTGGGAAACACAAATAGGAACAAGTAGGGACAACAGGGCTGGACTGATATTGGTCTTGAGGTCTCACCGCACAGGATCTGGACGTCTGGAACGCCTGGCAACTTCAGGGCACCCCCTGGCCCTCCTGAGGAAGCAAGCCAGCTCCCTTTCTCGCCACCCTCACGTGTGTTTAGGCCAGTAGGTGAGAACTGGGACTGAGTTTTGGCTCTCCTCCGCGCTGCAACTCTCCTACCACCACCCATGCCCCCCATCCCCGCCCAACCATGGGGGGCGCTCTGGCCTGCGACCACCAAGCCTCACCGCTGCCACCGCACCACAGGGCCAGATGGCCTCTCCAGCCACAGTGAGTAACAGGCTTCAGATCCGCTGCAACTCCGCGGCCGGGGAAAAACGAAAGGGCTGAGTCGGGTCCCCCTTCGGGGCCGCCATCCTCTCGTCCCTGGGGTCCCTGGGGCTCACGGCCTCGGAGGCGCGAACCTCTGAGCCCGCCTACCAACCAGGTCCTCTCTCCGGTTCCTCTGTGGCTGAAACCCTCAAGGGGTTGCAGGTTCAACTTTCACTTAAAGACGGCGGCTCTGAATTCGAGGTAGCTAAAGAAACTGAGGCAGGACTGGGAATTCTGGATGAGAGGTCAGATGCTGGCTGCAGCCTCTTTTCTCCTCAGCACTGGAATAGCCCTTCCGAAAGCCCAATGCGATTCGTGCCAATCCAAGAAGAAACTGCTGGAGTCCCCACAGATGGCCCTGCAGGGCGAAGCGCCGCCCACGCGGCTGGGAAACCTCTGGGGTGGCGCCGGCTCGGGGTGGGGCCAGGGGCGGGTTCCTGGCGGAGGGCGGGTAGACCTGGGCTACCCGGTGTGCCAGCCGAGCCCTACACAGCGGAGGTGGCGGTGGTGGCCCTCGCCTGTGGCTCGCGTTCTGCTTGCGCTCAAACTTACCGCCATGGAGGAAGTCCGGGAACCTCTGAGCGGGAAGCTCCGACTCTGCTTCTCCCCTGCTGCCCGGACCAGCCTCTTACTGCTCAGACTCAACGAGGCGGCGCTGCGGGCTCTGCAAGAGTGTCCCCGGCAACAGGTGCGGCCGGCCCCCTTCTTACCTAGGGCCTGTAACTCGGGACGTTGGGCCTCAGCCGGCAACTCTGGAGAAGGGACCCGGGGAGATAGGGAGCGGCATCCGCAGGCTCCGGCTTCCCCACCTCTCCAAGTGAAGCCCGCGAGGCAGGCGCCCTCGGGCCCCTAACCCCAGATCCTGGGGACTCCGCTTCACCTGCGCTCAGCTCGCCTCTGTGCTCTCCCCGCAGGTACAGCCAGTGATCGCTTTCCAAGGCCACCGAGGGGTAAGTGCAGGCCCAGGCTGTGTGAGCAAGGTGGGGGTGAGGAAGCACAAACGTGGGCTTCAGGAAGGTGTGGTAAGGGCGGGAGGCTGCCAGTGGTCACAGTCTGAGGAAGTTCTGAGAACAGAACCCCAAGTGGGGCAAGAGGGCTGCTGGGGTTGTGGTCCCAGGAGACTGTGGTGGAGGGCACTGTGCCGTTTCGGCCTCCTGGGGAACTCAGGCCCAGCTGCACCTGGTGTGCTAACGAGCCCCATGGGATCCATCTTCCGTCTTAGGGAGGAGGGGCGTTGGCAGGAGGGGGAGGGGCTGACTTCACAGGGCTTACCGCCCCCTTCCACCCGCAGTATCTGAGGCTCCCAGGCTCTGGCTCCTCCTGCCTCTTCTCCTTCATAGTGTCTCAGTGTGGCCAGGAGGGCGCTGGTGGTAGCTTGGATCTTGTGTGCCAGCGTTTAGGCAGGTAAGAGGCAACAGGTAGCAGGTAAGAAAGGGTTTGTGGAAAGTGGGGGAGGGGAATGTGGAGAGGTGCTTAAAAACTCTTTGCCCTCCTGTTTTTTTCCACCACTCCTTTCCAGATCTGGGCCTAACCGCCTCCACTGCCTGGGCCCACTCAGGGAACGCCTCACCGTTTGGGCAGCCATGGATTCTATCCCAGCCCGATCGTCAGCTCAGGGACACAACCTTACTGAAGATGCCAGACATCCTGAGAGTTGGCAGAACACAAGAGACTATTCTGAAGGAGATGCAGCATCACAGCCACAGATGTCAGTAGAAGAGGTGAGGCCAGAAACCGCAGGGAATTTTGATAAGGTGGGGTAAAACCTTAAGTCCAGGGAGGCAAGTGCTCCTGCCACTTTCCCCACCAGGTGTCAGATCCACTGGCAATCAACCAAGGACAGTCATTCCCAGGATCCTCAAGGGAGTATATGGCACAGTGGGAAGTGAGGTACTTGGAACAGGGTGGGACTAACATGGGAAGCCTGGGTATTGTCTTCCTCTCTAATCTCCACCCTTAAATACTGTGATAGATGATCTAGCCTCACCTCCTACCCTGGTCTTCATCTCTACCATTCCCTTAAAATATCCTAGGAACCAGGCCCATCTTCCAAATAGAGAGCCTGATCAGGCACTGTCTTCCTCTGCCAGCCGGAAATGTCTAGACAAGGTAAGTTGTAATGGCCAGGGCTTTTTAGACACACGTTTAGTCAAGCTAAAATAAAAAAACTGGGCGCACCCAACCTGGAGTGAGACATAGTAAGACCCCCATCTCTACAAAAAATTAAAAAATTAGTCAGGCATGGTGGTGCACACCTGTAGTCCTAGCTACTTGGGAGGCTGAGGCAGGAGGGTCTCTTGAGCCCAGGAGTTTGGAGTTACAGTGAGCTATGATCACATCACTGCACTCCAGCCTGGGTGACAATGTGAGATTTTTGTCTCAAAAAAATAAAATTAAATAAAAATTGGGAGCTCGTTTCAATTAGCAATAATTGCACCTTGCATAAACCTCATTGGCTATGATACTGCCACTGCGCAAAGCTAAGGAGCTTGTTATATGGGAGGAATTTTTGAGAAAAGGACAGAATAGGAAGTTCCTGGTTGTTTATGTCACATGGATATTTTCCTAAAACAGAAACGTCCAGCTCCTGTAGCTACTACAGAACTAGAGGAAAAGAGGTTCAGAGCTCTGCCTCTAGCTCCAAGTCCCCTACAAGGGCTACCCAATCAGGATTTACAAGAGGGAGAAGATTGGGAGCAAGAAGATAAGGATGAAGACATGGATCCCAGCCTGGAGCACAGTGCCTCAGTTCAAGCAGGTGAGTTAATGAGAGGAGGGTAAAAATGCCAGTGAAAAAAATGCCTATCATCACTTTTGTGTTTTCTTGCTTCCTTCCTAGACTCTGAATCCCCAAGCCCTGAAGAGGTACCAGATTACCTCCTGTGAGTTCCTTGTCATTTCCAATTTCATCAAGCCTTGTGTATATATAAACTTCCTAGAAGTTGGGAGCTTTTGGTGGCAATGAAATTAAAGGTGACAACTCTCTGCTTCTGGCAGGCAATACAGGGCCATCCACAGTGCAGAACAAAAACATGCCTATGAGCAGGACTTTGAGACAGATTATGCTGAATACCGGATCTTGCATGCCCGTGTTGGGGCTGCAAGCCAAAGGTTCATAGAGCTGGGAGCAGAGATCAAGCGAGTTCAGCGAGGAACTCCAGAACATAAGGTAAGGACTGGACCCAGGCTGGCTTTCCAGCTCTACTGGCCATTAACCCCCTGCTAACTACCCATAAGCCTGTGTTTGTTCAGTGACTAAGCAAGGTGACAAGCAAAGCTGTTTTGAGAGAAAAATTAGTCTGTATCATTTGGTAGACTGAGAAGGGAAGTTACTTCCCCCTTATTTCTTAATGTTGAACTCAGTGCTAGTATTTTCTGTTTCAGGTGCTAGAAGATAAGATAGTCCAGGAATATAAAAAGTTCAGGAAGGTAAGACAAGGTCTGGGAATGGAAGCGGAAAGGTAAAAATGAAGATTTTTACTTTTTGACATGGACACTCTTTTTCTCTGCAGCGGTACCCAGGTTATAGGGAAGAAAAACGTCGCTGTGAGTACCTGCATCAGAAATTGTCCCACATTAAAGGTCTCATCCTGGAGTTTGAGGAAAAGAACAGGGGCAGCTGAAGCTGTCAAGAGGGCTCTTGACCCTCTGTTCAGTGATACAGGAACAAAGTAGCTATAAACTAAATAGAGTGCAATATCTGCTTTCCCTATGCTGACCACTAGAGTCCATGGTGGCAAGTAGAGAGCTGCTCTAGGTTCTTGAAGCTTGGTTTTCATTGTTGCCATATTTTAATTTTTAGGGCATAGGCAGTGTGCCAAGACTCCACAGCTGTATCCTGGAGTCTAAGAACAGTAGCAGAGGCTTGGCTTCTTCACCTTTTGTTCAGCCAAGTAATTTTCAAATAGTAAGAAATGACATCATTTCTAGGATGAGATAACTTGAGGACATTAGACAAACTAAAAAGTGAATTTAGCCTGGTAGCCTCCCTAAGGAAACAATGAAAACTTTTGGTAACAGAGCTAAAGGAACTTATAGCACACCTGGATATAATGGGAAAGGGTTTGGGTGTTACCCATGTACTAAAAGAATTCTTTTACAAACATGGATAAAAAATTAAAATTGACTGCTTCTGTGTCCTTTGTATAGTTGTATGTTTTCCTTAAATCCTCCAAGGCAGTAATTCTTTTTTTTTTTTTTTTTTTTTTGAGACAGAGTCTCACTCTCTTGCCCGGGCTAGAATGCCGTGGCGTCAGCCTAGCTCACAGCAACCTCAAACTCCTGGGCTCAAGCGATCCTCCTGCCTCAGCCTCCCAGGTAGCTGGGACCACAGGCACACACCACCATGCCCGGCTAATTTTTTCTATTTTTAGTTGTTTGGCCAATTTCTTTCTATTTTTTAGTAGAGACGGGGTTTCACTCTTGCTCAGGCTGGTCTCGAGCTCCTGAGCTCAATCGATCTGCCCGCCTCAGCCTCCCAGAGTGCTAGGATTACAGACATAAGCCACCGCGCCCGGCCACAATCCTTCTGCCTCAGCCTCCCGAGTAACTGGGACTACAGGCATGTGCCACCATGCCCGGCAAATTTTTTTTTATATATGTATTTTTTTAGTTGTCCAGATAATTTCTATTTTTTTAGTAGAGCTGGGGTCTTGCTCTTGCTCAGGCTGGTCTCGAACTCCTGAGCTCAAACGATCCACCCGCCTCGGCTCCCAGAGTGCTAGGATTACAGGCGTGAGCCACCAAGCCCAGCCCCAAGGCAGTAATTCTTACCCTGGCTATACATAGGAACCACTTCTGGGGCTCTCTAAAAAAGTAGATCCTCAGTCCTCAGCCCAGGTGTTATTACAATTTCGAAGATTATGGTTTAGACATCTTCTTTTTTTCCAGACAGGGTTTTACTCTCTTGCCTGGGCTAGAGTACAGTGACATCATCATAGATCACTGTAACCTCAAACTCCTGGGCTCAAGCGATCCTCCTGCCTTGGCTTCCCAAAGTGCTAGGATTATAGGCATGAGCCACTGTCTGGCCAATACCTTTACTTTTTAAAATCCCTGTGTGTGACCCTGATGTATATGTTGCTATAAGGCTCTATCAATTCCATCTTATGTTTGACAACTAGAGATTATAATAGGAAGAAAGTTCTCCTTTTCTGAACATAGGGGTTTGTAGAATCACCTACAATTAGGGCTCCTATCTGGAATTATCCAGTGACTGAAAACTGTAACTGTACAGGATTTGGATTTACCTACAAAGAAAGAAATGGTTCAATTCATATGAACAAAAGGAGATCAATTCAGCCCTATCCTTTTTGTTCCTGTTACAGAAGAAAGTAGATGCTTCACTAACAAGCAGGAATGATACTGCTTTTCCCAGTTCCCACTAGAGAGGGAGGTTAGTGGGCCACGCCCTAGGCTTTGGGGGAAAGCTGTACCCAACACTGCCAGCAATTCCTGAAACAACTTGGAGAGAACCCCAACCTGATGCCACACCCATGGCAGGGCATTTCTCGGCAGAGAACAGTCCTTGGGAGGTATAAACATGCAATAAGCTTAGCTAGGTGGCAAGGATAAACAGCAACCCATCCTTAGAGCATGGGCAGGGCCAGAAACAGCCTTACAAGAAAGGCCCCTCACCTGTTCTAATCACTAGGGCCTAGGTAATAAACATGTAACAAGATAGATAAAGAGATGAGAAATTTGGAAAGGATATTGAAGTGATTACTATGGATTCAGTTCATCAGTCTGTAGCTGCAGTGACCAATATGGTAGCCACTATGTGGCTATTTAAATTAATGAAAATTAAAAATGTAGTTCTTAGCCACATTTCAGACCAGATTGGGCATGTTGTAGTAGTATGGCTGTAGACTTTAGACACATCTCAGATGCTCCATAGATATAAGAACTGGACAGTACAGATTATAGGACATTTCCATCACTGCAGAAAGTTCTATTGGATAGTGATAGTCTAGAGAACCTTTGGTCCTTTATCCCATGGAAAAAAGATAGTTTAAAGGGGGCTCATTTATTGTCACTGTTCCAAATGTACAAAAAAAATTAGAAAATAACCCCCCAACTCAATTCCCCCCACCCCCACAACATTTTCCCCAACACAAATAATTTTTCCCAAAACCATAAACATAAACTGGTTCTGGTATTTCCATAAACAGTGCAGCTAAGAAACAGTTTAGAGAAAATTTTAACAGGATTCAGATTACATCCATTTTGTCCTCTCAGTGCCGAGAGGTAATAATCCCATATGGGTCCCAGTCCTCCCCAATGGTTTTCCCATCTCTGGTGGAAGAGTCCTTTTTACAAAGTAGTATGTTTGGCTGCTGCTTTAGAGATCTTCCTGTGCCTTCTTCTTCTTCTTCTTGGGTTTTTCTTCTTGAATTACAGGGGGGTTTGTAGCTTCTCGCTGCAGGTAGCTAATAAAATCACTCAATTCACGGCCACCCTGAAAACAGAAAGATTACTCTGAAAATTGAACTTTCTAAAGAACCCTAATTTGTGCCCTCCTCCCCAATTGGAAGACTTTTCAGTCTGTAAAAGCACTTTAGCAACCACATATATTGCCCATTAGAGTTGAAAGAGTTTCTAGTTAAATAAATTCAGTTAAAGAACTGGATATGTATAAGCATGTGTATGTGTGTGTTTATGTCTGTGCGTATACTTGTGGGGAGACAGGACAATGCACTTACTTCATATTTCTTTGGATTTAACTTCTTGTTGGCTGGAGAGAAGTAGATAGTAGGAAAACTGGAGAAAGATAAAAAAAAAAAAAAGTTTACTAATTTCAGGTTCCAAAGTAACTCTTGACATATACTTCCTCAATAACTGTTTCTGAAAATAATCTCTCTTCATGGTTTCCAATCTGACCAAATACTATTCTTTGTCAGTGGCTAAATTACATCCTATCAAAACTCAAGAATATGGGCCAGGTGCAATGGCTCACACTTGGTAATCCTTTGGGAGGCTGAAGCAGGAGGATTGCTTGAGGTCAGGAGTTCAATACCAGCCTGAGCAAGTTAGCTAGACCCTATCTCTACAAAACATAAAAAAATTAGCCCAGTGCGGTGGCACATGTCTATAGTCCCAGCTACTTGGGAGGCTGGGGCAGGAGGATGGCTTGAGCCCAGCAGTTCAAGGTTGCAGTGAGCTACAGTGGTGCCTCTGCATTCCAACCTGGGCAACAGAATAAGACCCTGTCACAACACTCCCCCCAACAAAACACTCAAGAATGAGAGCTCACAAAATTTCTGGCAGTCATGTGGGTTCACACTACAGAACTCTAAGTCAAAAAGGATTCAGTGGTTCTGTTCTCAAGTGGAATATGAAACCCTCCCCCCAAAACTATGTTCAGTAAAGAAATGGTTTCCTGGTGGTTTACAAGCTTTTTTCAAATCAATTGCCTAGACGATTTTGTTAATTTTTAATCTACTTACCCTCTGACTTCATATGGAGAAGGCACATCATTGGCTGTGGCATCCATCTTGGCAATGACAATATTTGGGTCTTTGCTGAGCTGTTAATAAAGATTAGATCTTTAAATTTCAAGTTTTCAGTGACTGAGGGGCAGACACTTAGTAAATTCAGGACTTAAAACAATCTCATTCTTCATACACCTGGATAAGGTGTTGCTCAGATGGGAAGAGTAGATTGCATGATAGTACCTAATGTTCTACAAGCTTCCCTTTTCTTTCTTGGCTCCTACATAGTAAGACTCTACAAAGAGCCACGTTCAAACTTACCTGGCCTGAATAAGACATCATAAGGGCTAAGCCAAGTGTTTTAAAAGGAAGCAACATATAGATTCATATAAGCCATTACCAAAATTCAGAAGCTTCTGGATCTTTTTAACTATAATCTAGATTGAGTCTGAGAAATGGAATGTTAAAAGTGGGTATCTGATGCACTGCACAGGTTAGAGACACTAGGGGGCAGTCAAAAGGAAGTGCGTAAACAGTAGCTGGAAAAAAATCACGCAGGAACTAAACTAATTAGGTTAACTAATTAGCCAATGGTAAATGTGTACGTAAACTTTCCAGCCCTATTCAAATTTTATTTTCAGAATAGGGTTCAGACTTACCTTCTCTCCCAGTTCTTTATACTTGGGCTCCAGATTCTTACAGTGACCACACCAAGGGGCATAAAATTCAATCAGCACATCTTTATTTTCATTATTCACTATTTCATCAAAATTCTCTGCTACCACTACCTGGAAAACACAGAAGATTCTCTGGTTGGTAGGGTAACAAAAAGAATAAATTCAGGCCGGGCGCAGTGGCTCACGCCTGTAATCCTAACACTCTGGGAGGCCGAGGCGGGTGGATTGTTTGAGCTCAGGAGTTCGAGACCAGCCTGAGCAAGAGCGAGACCCTGTCTCTACTAAAAATAGAAAGAAATAAAAAAAATATATATATAAAAAATTAGCCAGGCATGGTGGCATATGCCTATAGTCCCAGCTACTTGGGAGGCTGAGGCAGCAGGATCACTTGAGCCCAAGAGTTTGAGGTTGCTGTGAGCTAGGCTGGTGCCACGGCACTCTAGCCCGGGCAACAGAATGAGACTCTGTCTCAAAAAAAAAAAAAAAAAAAGAATAAATTCATAAGCTACATTTGTT